TGCCCACATCATGGGATTGTGGTTCCCATGAGGTTAGGCATATTCTATAATGCCTGACTCAGTCCTCAAGAGAATCCCTTGATTCCTTTGTTGGTGGGGCATTCATGATGAAAAATATGGAAGATGCAACTCAGCTGCTGGAGAACATGGCAACCAATCATTGCAAATGGAAAGCTGATCCCATAGCACTCCCAAAGAAGGCCGGGGTATTAGAAGTGGATACCACCAGTCACATGCAAGCTCAACTCTCCATGATCATCAACAAGATAGGATAGCTGGAGACTTACATTGCCAAGTCAAAAACTTACTTGTGTGAGTCATTTTCTGGTTCTCACAAGATTAAAAATTCCCCTGCTCTACTTGAGTCAGCCCAATTTGTCTGTCAAGGCAATGTAGGTGGTTTCAATCCTTACAGCAACTGGAGAGGTCATCAGAACAACAACTGGAACAACAATCAACAGTGAAGGAGCTACCAAAGGCCAGCCTTGCCACCTGGTTTCCAGAAGCAAGAATGGAGTCTTAAAGAGAGTGATTTGGTTGAACTAAAGACTATGCTGAAGTCTTTGAAAGCAAACCAACATCAATTGGAGGCAAGGCCGAGTCAGAATGAGAAATTGTTTGTTGAGAGAGTAGTCGGAAGTCTACCTAGTGATACTATTGAGAACCCCAGGAAGGGCACTCAGGAACAAGCTAAGGATAAGCCATGTGGGCTGAATAAAACTAGAGTGTTTTGATTAGGAGTCTTAGATTCCTTCTAGATATTATCCTACTTGAGGATAAGTCATTTAGATAAAGTTTCCTAGATTTTAGATAGAGTCAAAGAGATCAAATACTCTTCTACTTCTACTCCTTGTGAGGTAAGATTAGAGTGTCCAAATTGATCTTCTTTTAGTGGTGCTGGCCAAAATTCTAAGCCTGTAAATAGGGGGCTTGGCCAAAATTTCAAAGCACCCTTGAGTGGTCGTTTTTGTTGTCTCTTTTGAGAGTTTTTCCTGTGAGAAATTCTTGTTAAATAGAGTGTCCATTTTTCGTGTCAAGTATTATTTAACCAAGAGGGTTTTCATCTTGTCTTGGATCTTTTTGATCTTGCAGAAACCGTTCTTTTTCAAGTATGCTTCTTGATAGAATTGTTTTAAAAACTTCTTATTTTCATACTACTTCTAGTAGTTCGATTGATGAGCCTTTCTTTTGGCTTGGTGTTCGAATTTCATGATGAGTGTGTTCATGAGTTCCATTGTGGGGTTTGTCCTACCTTTGTTGGATTAGTTGTGCATTGGCATAAGCATTTTGAGATAGTGTATGTGTTACATATCTTTGGTTGGTTACGGAGATTACTAATCAATAGTATTCCTTCATAGTTGAGCATTGTTTGCTCCTACCTTTCTTGAGTCTCTTGATTGATGACTGATCGAGTATATTGAATGGTGTCCTTGCTATTCTTAGCGTGGGTTGTTGTTTAATTCAAATCTTTCATAGATAATGTGTTCTTTGCTTGGTTTGAGTTAAGGGATAGAATCACTTAGATAAACGATCGTCTTACTGTGAATTTTCCACACTCTTTTGAGTTTCACGGGATAGACAAATTATCTTCGTACTTTCTTGTTGATGGTTACATTAACGAAATTTGCTTCGTCTACGAGATTGCTATCAGTCTCATATTCCACTGCTACAACTTCATCAATTTCTTCTACAGCACTAACCAAAGCTCCTCCTTCCCCTAACTGATAATCGCTGGCTTCCTAGACAAGGACCACCTCTGCTGGTCGGATGATTTTACCAAACCGACCTTCTAACTGATTCGAAAAATCCTCCCAATTATCATACCGTATAAGAATTGAAGAGGTTCTGATGAGAATCATGTAGCCTTCCATGGAGGTTCTCCTAGTGAGGGGAATGATTTAGTCCTTCATTCTAGATTTGGAATGCCAAGTTTACTTTGCAGGCCAATCAAGGAAGAAAGGATGGATCTTGACTACCTATGTGATAGGGAGTTGGTTCAAGAGAGCTATGATCAAGGTGATGAGAATGTCATTAACTTTGGGATGCAAACCAAAGGAGATGAAGACCTCATGGAAATAAGTGCTGAAGAGTATCAAGAGAGTTTGACTCTGTGTGCTCCATGAAGATCATTGATCAAAGCTAGTGAGAAGAGTCATTTAGGTTCATGAGTGGACGGCCTATTTGATCCAAGTGTTCAAGATTGAGTCCACTGCTACACAATTGGATAGGGTGCAAACTATCTTAATTGTTTCAAGTGTTTTTCCATTCTTTTGGAGTCAATAAGGTGAATTCTACAAGTTTTGGAGTAAATTGGGGGTTTCTACAACTTAAGGGGCGCAAGACCAATATTCCACTTTTGGAAGGGCGTTCAAGACATTTTACTTCAATAATTTGGAGCTGAATTTCGAGATTAGAGTTAGTCTAAGTCTAGGAGTCAATTTTTTCGAATTTTTTTTATCTAGTTAAATAAGTCATGTGGACTGAATTAAGCTAGAGTGTTTTGATTAGGAGTCTTAGATTCCTTCTAGATATTATCCTACTTGAGGATAAGTGATTTAGATAAGGTTTCCTAGATTTTAGATAGAGTCAAAGAGATCAAGTACTCTTCTACTTTTACTCCTTGTGAGATAAGATTAGAGAGTCCTAATTGGTCTTCTTTTTAGAGGTGCTGGCCGAAAAATTCAAGCCTATATATAGGAGGCTTGGCCGAATTTTAGAAGCACCCTTGAGTGGTCATTTTTGTTGTCTCTTTTGAGAGTTTTTCCTGTGAGGAATTTTTGTTAAATGGAGTGTCCATTTTTCGTGTCAAGTATGTTTAAACCAAGAGGGTTTTCATCTTGTCTTGGATCTTGTTGATCTTGCAGAAACCATTCTTTTTTCAAGTATGCTTCTTGATAGAATTGTTTTAAAACTAAACTTCTTATTTTCATACTAGTTCTAGTAGTTCGATTGATGAGCCTTTCCTTTGGCTTGGTGTTCGAATTTCATGATGAGTGTGTTCATGAGATCCATTGTGGGGTTTGTCCTACTTTTGTTGGGATGAGTTGTGCTTTGGCATAAGCATTTTGAGATAGTGTATGTGTTGCATATCTTTGGTTGGTTATGAAGATTACTAATCAATAGTATTCCTTCATAGTTGGGCATTGTTTGCTCCTACCTTTCTTGAGTCTCTTGATTAATGACTGATCGAGTATATTGAATGGTATCCTTGCTATTCTTAGCGTGGGTTGTTGTTTAATTCGAATCTTTCATGGATAATGTGTTCTTTGCTTGGTTTGAGTTAAGAGATAGAATCACTTAGATAAACGATCGTCTTACTGTGAATTTTCCGCACTCTTTTGAGTTTCATGGGATAGACAAAATTATCTTCGTACTTTCTTGTTGATGGTTGCATTAACGAAATTTGCTTCGTCTACGAGATTGCTATCAGGTTCGCCACTCATGTATAGAGCAGCAGTCTGTAATTTCTTATGTGATGGGACGCGATGATAAACGGAGAAGCACTCGATTCGGTCAAGCCAATCAGCGACTTCTTCACCGGAGAAGAGGAAAACTCTCATCGGTGAAAGAACTGGAAGTCCAAGAGGAATCGGACTTGAAGGTAAAGCTTCACATGGGGGCAGCGACAAAAAATCTTTAACCTTGCGTCGATGTACATTAGAATCGGCCATTTCAATCGGTGAAAAAGGAAACAAAAATGAAGGGCTGTTTGGTGCGAGTCGGAGAATGGAGAAATCTCACAGATTTTAGAACGGGGAAAGATAGAAAGAGATTTCAGACTTTCAGAGGATTGAGAATTAGAAGGGGAAGAAGAAGAAAGAACGAATTGATCAAATGATATAGAGTCGGTCGAGAGAATCGTCAGCTCTGATACCAATTGTCACGCTCCGGGGGCCGGAGAGACGGCCGGAAAACAGAAAGGGGAGACTTTCAGATTGGGGGTTAGGGTTCGGGGACTGGAAGACGAAGAAGAAGGAGAAAACTGAATTTTCAGTTTTGACATAATAATTCTGATAATGAATTTACAGACCCCTCCAAACATTTATAGTCCACATAGTTTCTAGAACAACTCTTTGGTCCCTACACTTTCTATTTCCTGAAATCTAATCCATAAAAAACCCAGGGCGTGACACATTAGTTCTAAAAATGGAAGTTGATGTGAAAGAACTAGGCCACTAACTATGTAATATTGGGCCCAGGCACGGCTGGTTCTTTTATTTTTTAAATTTACACTTGAAAATAAATTTACCCAGTACAGCATTCCACCAGAGAACCCAATCTGGAAGCCACCTCCATGGAGTTGGATTAGACTCAATTCCGACAGAGCAGTCGCTGCATCGCTGAAAGCAGCGGCAGTCGGTGGCCTCCTAAGAAACCATGAGGGAAAATGGATCATGAGTTTTACTGCAAATATCAGTTTTTGCCCTATCCTTGAAGCGGAGCTTTGGGCTGCTTTCCTTGGGCTTCAGATCGCATGGAAATGTAATGCTCCGGTTAATTCAAGTGATTAAAACGGAAGGATTGAATGGAGAAATTGGACAAAATCGATTGGGAACTAGGGTTCCTGAGAAGCCCCAAAGGGAAAATACATTTTCTTTCAATTCTTCATATTTTCAGTACTCTTCTGACCATATATAGTCAGCCAATTCTCTAAATTGCTACTAACCACCCAAGACTATGGAAATAGGCCAACTAGGTCCTATTCCATGACAAACCACCCTTCTTAAAAACAGTCTTGTCCCCAAGACTGTTGTTAAAATACTATTGATTACAAACAAGAAACTTAAATGGTTCCAACACCAACTCTACAATCATGCTGCAAATGAAAACACTAAGAATAAAAAGAGAGAACTAATTCTATGATCATCAACAAGTAAATCTTCCAGTAAGGCCAAGGTTGCTGAACTTCTTCCCTGCTGATCACTCCCCAAGTTCACCACCAATTTCAATCAACACAGATATGATCTTGGTGAGGACTACAGCTCTAGCAAAAGAGATGACTAACTCCAACGAACCCAACTAAACTGTAGATGACCATTTTCCACAATTGATGCCCAAAACTCTATCAATTCCAGCAACTGTGTTGCAATTTCCAAACTGAACCAAGCAATCCACCACACAAAGTTCCCTTCGTCTAGTAGAGTCACAACTCCTACACAGGCTTTGCCAACAGTTGTTCCACCTTTAAAACATGTTGCATTTCTAACCCAAGCTTTACACAACAATTGATCCACAAAATGAGACGTTTTACCAACTTCAGGGTCCTCATCGCACAAGTTTAACTGAATACCAGTGCTAGAATTCACACTAGTACAATCAACAGTTAAGTCCAAGCAGACTCTTGTGCCCCCTTTAAAACCAAAAATCAACAATTCCCAGGATTGATTCAGATTCATCAGTTCAGCAAACGTTTTGAGTACACATACAAAACAATCATCTATAGTTCATCTTTATACTGCCTAATCGATTTAACGAAACCACAACACTCAGCGAAATCCATTTCTGCCATAAGACTGTTTAGGCATAACAATCTGCCCGGATCGAAAGTAACTAGGCAGCTAGCATTTGAACTACGGAGGGAATTCAGAGATGTAACTAAATTGGCATCAACATGATTCCAATCAAGACAATCATTTGGAAGTTCAATATTTTTACTACTCAAGTCTTCAATTGTCAGCAATTCATTAACCATATCATAAACACAACTAAGACTCGGTTTAGCTCTAGGGGTATCAATTAAACTCACCATTTCAACAGAAGCATCATAAATCTCATTGGAAATCAGCGAATCAGTATTCAAATCCACCAGTGTCATCTCATTTGCATCAAAATGCAAAAATTCATCAGGAAATTTACCTTGCTCGTTAACGACAGTGCCGGATTCTTCTAATTCAAACGCTATTCCTGGACTGAGAATTTCTTCAGTTTCCCAATCACAAGCAACCACCACCTTCGCTTCAAAGGTTTCTTGTTCACAATCGAGTTCTTGAGGGTTCTGTTGTTGGAAGAATTGAATGTGGTATTTGTGATGAAGAATGATATCTTTAAGAAATAGGAAAATCCGAGGCTCGTGAAGACACAATTTCCTTAAAACATATTTGCCCCCTCCTAAGATGCTAGAGGATCGTGGGCAATTGTTTCCCAGGATACAACGGAGAAACGTGAAAACTACTTAGTACTAAGTAGCTCCACCAGCGAACTGGAACTTAGAAAAGATTTGATGAACACCAAGGAAGAGGAAGAAAAAGATAAGGCAACATTGATGAAGAAATTGGGTTACTAGAATTAAACAATGAGCCACTATTTATATCATTAAGAGACCTTTTGAATTCAGTCAAAAAACTCAACGGTTTTCTCATGTTAATTCACGTTAATTATAGCTGAATAATTGTGAGTCAAATGTTTAAACATTTGTAACCACTCAACCATTTATTCTAGTCATTTAAATGAATTAATCCTACAAATTCAAAACTGAAACGGTCAGTTTTATTGCAGCAAATTAATTCCTGTGCTAAATGAAATATTATATTCATTAACACCCTCATAACCATAGGTAATCAATCCGGTCAAATTCGGATTAAATGAAAACCGTTTGGAATAATTCAAGCAGCAAAAATCTCTCTATTATTTGACTGAAAAATTAATCTAAGACAGAGCAAACATGGGTTGATCAGGTCCACGAGAGTTCAGTTCAACATTTGTATCCACAAGTCGGACACATACATGAGTTAAGCTACTCCGATAGCATAACCTCAATTTTCCAATCTATGAGAAAACAATTCTCATTCAAATTAATAGCTCATTTCCAACAATCCCCCACATGAATGAGACATTGGTTTGACTAGATGAAGATGGTATTCACCAACTGATTCCTGCAAAGAGAAAGTAGGTGTTACCCTTTGAACTTCCTCCTTGTAAAGTATGCTTGCTTTACTAGGTATCCAGTAGACGCGATGTCCTTGAACTGTCCGGCTGTATTGTGTAAAGAAACCCACATACAATACACATGAACCCTTTCTTTGTAGTTCCGTTCTCATGATTTTGTTCATTTTGGCCATGAACACGTCCTGGTTCTGTGAGACTTCCTAAAGAACTGAGCCTTAACAGTTCTCCTTTGAAGCGGCCCACTTCTCTCTTACATAGGTGATTTCTTAAGTCTAGAGTAAATGATATTACTCACTTAAGTGTCATTAAAGCAATCATTTGCTATCCTTTTCCGTCATGTCACTGTTTTGATGACAGGAATGAGTTGAAGACCACATCTAGTCTTATGATTAGGTTGTCCCTTTAAATCTAGATCTTGGGATCTCCAGTCAACTAGGTTGGTTTCCTTCAAAAGACTTTTATACTTTACAGGCTTTCTCATTCCTTTAGTCATTTTCTCAACTATCTCTCTATTTAACCCTCAGGTTAGTGGATCCACGGTGTTATCTTTCGACTTTATCTAGTCAAACAAGATATATAGTTGAGAACAGTTGCATAATGATACTATATTTACGACAAATCAATGTCTAGAATATCATTATACAATCGACCACATGTCATCTATGGTTAATAGATCAGTGGCACATTATCCCCATATTCAAAACTAGCAATATCATTTGGCCTCTATCACACGACTATCCGATATACACAATTCGGATTCCATCGTGGCATGACTATCATAATCTAGTTTAGGGATCTTAAAGACACGTATGTCTAGGCTAGCATTCACATAACCAACCATGAGTGTTGTTTGAGTCATCCCTACTATATATCCAATTTGTATGTGTACTCTTCTAACATAATTGGAAATCTAGTATGATGTAACTCAACACCACGAGTATATCGTAAGTACTTTACTACTCTAACATTGATTGTCCATATTAACAATCCAACACAATGCTTGATTACTCGTATTTGCACTTCACTAGCTTAATTCATAAGCACTTATTGTAGCTGAACTCATTAGAAGCACTATTCTCTCGATCATCCTTGAGTATTCTACCAAAGTAGTACTCCCCGCATAACTAGGATAACCGAAAAATATCATCTAATGTGGTTCTAGCAACTCTACAATTATTTTTGCTCAAACTCCACAAGAGTTTTGTCAATAATGAGCTTGACTCAAAATAAGACCGTTGCATCCACGTGATTTTAACCAGTAAAATCACACCAGTAAGTTCCACATGCTAAACACAGACTTAACATGTTAATAGACTTACTATCGACAATTTAGTATGTCTTTCAAATAGGCATCAAATGCCTTAGTTTTTCCATGTCTCATTGACGTAGACATATTTTGACATACTCTTTAACTCTTATCGATGATCTTTGGACTTGTTCCAAGACCATAAAAGAGTTTACCAATCTTATTATCGGTATTTAGAGCTTGAAACTCTCGGGTTGCTCCGTATCTAATTTTCTATTGAAGGAAACATCATTTGATCTTGATCTCAACACGAGAGAATACATATCAAGTAATCTAAACAAACTCATTGTTTATTTACTTTGATTCCTTATGTGACATTAACTTATTTTTAAGTATGATTCTCGAAAATAGAATCGACACTCTTTATGATTTGTCCATAAAGATCCATCACAAGAACTAATAAGTTCGTAAATTATTCCCAACAAATGGGATCAAATCATACATAAATGATTTTCATTTGGTTCCTAGCCACATCTTGGTTCTTCATCGTGAACCATTTCCTTTCCAAAAGAATTACATATTCTTTTCATCACACTATAGTGTTCTTTGTAATTTTGACAAGTTCAAAATATACACAAAGAACCCTTACATGATACCGTCATGTACTCATGGCCTATAAAGATTTTTTCCACCAATTAGGATTCATCTTTATTTCCTTTAATGCAAGTATTTCCATCAGATACTTTGACACTCACAAGTGTTTGATTGCATTACTCATATAAGACCCCCACACTTGCAAGTATTTATAGGGTGGTCACAATTTCTTTCATGATACCTTAATAAGGTAATCACTTGACAAGAAACTATCCCCCACATTCGGGTGATATAGAACTCAAAATATCGTTTTCACAATTTTCTTCAAAAATTAATGTGTATTTTTTACGTTCATATTTCTATTGGATAGATGTAACTATGGTAGAATCTTCATAGATAATTCTATGTTGTATAAAGAAGTCACCTATTGGTGCCTCACTCACCACTAGTACCACTTCTCCAATATCCATTACTTTTATTGAGTTTATTCTCAACCTTAGTCTCGTAGAGAACAAATTCTCTTTATAGACTGTATTCTATATATTGAGAACAAACCTCTGTTTGTATCTAGAAGATAGAACTCATTGGGACACATCATATTCATCCCATTCCATGCAAGGAATTTCCATTCTCACAAAAGTGGAGTGGAACAAAGAGTTATAGTTCTCACCACAAAATTGAGAATCATTGCTCTTACTAAATTCTTTCGTATATACAAATGAAGAATTTCAGAAAACTCAAAAATCATGCACCCCATATAGCACACAAATATTTGATGCTTTACCATTTTAAAATTACTTGCCATGCGAGCATCTAAAAATTCATTTGTGACAAGACAGATATAACAATTGCATATAAGAGTGTCTTATAAAACAACTCCATGCACCAAGAATCAAGTTATTTAATATTTAATAGTCTAAACATCATGGACATTGAGGTTTGAGACTGGGCACTTCTTTTGTCATTTATGCCCAAATAATGAATACAACAATTCATTTTTCATTTTTCTTAATTTAAATCTATCATAAGATTTAGTGGAAAAATATAACTTACATTCCATAAAGTCATGCACATAAATCCTTGTCATTGTTCCAGTTCTGGTTATTAACAAGGAAAAAACCAGGGACAAATTGTAACTCCCATTTTAGGTGATGACAACAAAATAATCCATTAATGGCACATATTTAAGTCTCACTGGTTATCACCCATAACTCCCAGACATTTAAAATATTTGGCCATAAAACAAAACACATTTGATGTATTTTTCATCTGAAAATATGTCCTTTCAGTGCATCGTGCAAATGGCAATCGAAATGCTAGTTTTACAGATCTAGCCATGCATATTCTCTTGGAAGCACATTATTTATGTTCAATACATTATTTATGTTAGGAGAAATATCCTAAAGCCAATATTAGCCCCCAATTTGTTTTTCCTTTTATATTCTAGGAAGCCAAATGAATTTATTAACAAACTAATGAATTCATTTAATTCCTCTCATATGTATTTAAATGCCATAAAGAATATATATGCATTTTTCATGGATAATGACTCATGTTAATGCCACAATTTCAAAATATGGCCCAAACAAAGATATTCCAAAGAAGTATAATACTTTAACTTCTCATTATTCATCATGCTTACAATTTAGATGCTTATCATGAGATTTTGATCATTTTATGCACCTTATATAGTCATAATCAGAAGACGCAAATTTATGCTTCTTGTACCATGATTAATATAGCCATTAGTATCATCGAGCTATTCATTTTCCATGAATGTATTAATACAAATCAATGTCATGATTTTTCCATAAAAGCATACAATAACATTCAATAATTAATTGTATTACATGCATTTGGATAATCATACTTCGGGGGTTTCAGATTAGAATGGCACTTTATTCCCATTTAATCAATGCTGAGCAGATATAATCCATATAAAAGATCATCAATTCACTTAGGAATATGCTCAACTTTTAAAATCATTGTTCATGTTAAAAATCAACCAATCAACATGAATAGCATATATCATATACCCATATTCATATATCTTAAGGATATCGAAATATACTGATAGCAATCTCGTAGAC